GTGTCCATGTGCAAGAATAAAACATTAAACAAAATGGACAAAACATACTTGCATTTCATACTTGCATTCATTCTACTGAATGTAAGACAATAAAAAATCATAATAAGCAAGCAAGTTACAATGTTTAATGAGAAATTGTTTAAAAAAAAACAGAATAAGAGGAATGTGGTGTAGGTTGCAATTTTAAATAGGATGACATTTGATCAAAGACTTGAAATAGGTCAATTCAACATGGTTGTGGAAAGGACAAAATTTGAAATGCAGTCAATATAAATAATAATTCTAGTATGATATTATAATTCCACTTCCTCAAAGGTTATCTTTTTAAAATAAGCTGGAACATATAATACCAGGTCAATGTTAATTGGATGTTACATTTTGAGGAGTAATACTGCCCTAAAGTTATGTAAATTTCTCATAGAATAATGGCTATCTTGAGTTAGAATCAGGAAAAAAACCCACAAGAAATAGCAGTTTTGTAATCTTGGTTTTTAAATACTTTATGCTTTGAAAATTGTATTCTAATAAAAGTAGTAACTTTGTTGAGGCTTATAAATTGAGAGAAGTAAAGATTAGGTGGAGATGAGATATAGTCACCAAGAAAGATGAGTTAAGTTTCTTTTGGTAATTATGTTTTTGTTAATTATAAATTTATCTCAACATTTTTTTCCCTTGGGGTGCTAGGGATTGAACTCAGGGCCTCACTTGAACATTAATTACTTCAGCCCAATCTCAAATATTTCAAAAATAATGAATATTTATGACATTTTGAGAACTATTCTAAATATTGCATGTGTGTCAGTTCATTAAAACTTTTTCTTTTTTTTTCTAAAGAGAGAGTGAGAGAGAATTTTAATATTTATTTTTTAGTTATCGGCGGACACAACATCTTTGTTTGTATGTGGTGCTGAGAATTGAACCCGGGCCGCACGCATGCCAGATGAGCACGCTACCGCTTGAGCCACATCCCCAGCCCCAAAACTTTTTCTTTTAAAAAGTCTCAAAACCTTTTGAATTCATTTTAATTTTGTCCTATCCCCAAGGTCTTCTGAGATTATTATTATTATTTTGTACTGGGGATGGAACCAAGCAAGGGGTGTTCTACCAATGACCAGTTTTATTCTGAGACAGGATCTTGCTAAATTGCCTAAGCTGACCTCAAATTTGGGATCCTCCTGCTTCAACTTCCAGAGTAGCTGGGATGATAGGCATGAGCCGCTGTGCCCAGTTTATATTAGAAATTTGATGAGAGTAGAGATTACCTTCACATCCTTCATAGGCTTAGCATAAGGCCCTGAAATCCTGCTTAGAAGAAAATTATTTAAAATTATTTTAGTTGTCATAAGCTTAGAAAAATTTAAAGGTAAGGTAACACCCTATCTTAATATTTTGGAATTTTTCTTTACATCAGAAGTTCCTGTGAATGAGGATTTTTGTTGTTGTTGTTAATGCATTCAGGGAATTGTAACAGATCTYTACTGATGAAGAGGGTACGTTTTGAAAAATGGGTTTTGATCAAATTGTTAATTGGGTTTTTGGTTAATTTTTAATCAAACTGTTGTTTTCATCATGACTTGTTATTTTATGCTTAGTATATATTACAAAGACTGAAATACCATTTAATAGTCAATATTAATGCTTTTTTAAACTTGTTTTTGTGTGTGTATGTGGTGTTGGAGATTGAACCCAGAGCCTCGTGCAAGCACTCTACCAACTGAGCTATACCCCAAGCCCAATGCTTTTTAATTTGTATACAGCACTTTAGTATACAAAACATCCTCACATATATTTCATTTGGTTATTTGGTTCTAAGTATGTAGTCTGCATAAAAAGGTTATTATATTACAGCACATTTTTGTTCCCTTTTAAAGGAAATATTTATTTTCAAATATTATATGCAATTGTACTCAAACATAAATCTGTTAGGAAATGTGAAATAGCAAGGGTTAAGATACACCAAGTGGGGCTGGGGATGTGGCTCAAGCGGTAGCGCGCTCGCCTGGCATGCGTGCGGCCCGGGTTCGATCCTCAGCACCACATACAAACAAAGATGTTGTGTCCGCCAAGAACTAAAAAATAAATATTAAAATTCTCTCTCTCCCTCACTCTCTCTTTAAGGAAAAAAAAAAAAAAGATACACCAAGTGGCAGCAACTAACCCAGATGAAGAGGAGTCAGACAAAGAATAGGGAGGAAGGTCAGTCAGKGGATCATGAAGGTCTGACACTTGGAACACAATGCTTACAAAGGATAGCCTCAAAAAGATTCAGGTGTTTAGGTAAAGAGTCACTCTCTCCTTCTCAAAACAACAAATCATAAAAAGAAAAAAGACTAAACATTTCCGTGCAAGGAAAATTTCTGTGAATCTCTGGTCTTGAAGGATGAAAATAGGCAAACATACGGTCAACTGGACTAAAGTGCTGGTTATAGTGGTACACACCTGTAACTCCAGTAACTAGGGAGGATGAGTCAGGAGGACTGCAAGTTCAAGGCCAGCCTCAGCAATTGAGTGAGGTCCTAAGCAACTCAGTGAGACCCTGTCTCAAGATAAAAAATAAAAAGTACTGAGGATGTAGCTCAGAGGTAAAGCACCCCTGGTTCAATCCCCAGGTACCAAAACAAATAAACAAACCAGAACAGGCATTAGGAATATAAATTAATATAGCCATTATGGAAAATATGATTCCTCAAGAAATTAAAAATAGAATTACTGTATGATCCCATTTCATTATATCAAAGAGATGTGCATTCCCATGCTCATTGCAGTTTTATTCACAATAGTCAAGGTATGAAATTAACAAATGTGTGAATTAAYGCATTTAAAAAAATGTGGCTCTTCTTCCTCTGCCAGGCCATTCTGCTTCATTTCAGACCCAGAATTATGGAATCTGCTGCTCATGGACTGAACCTCTGAAAGTGTGAGCCCAAAATAAACTTTTCCTTCTCTATATTATTCTTTTCAGGTCTTTGGGTCACAATGATTAAAAAAAAAAAGCTAAAACAGAAACTGGTCTTGAGATGTGGGGTTGTCGTTCTCACTTACCTGCCCATGTAGTTCAAAAACGTTTTTGAGCTTTCTGGAGTTTATGGAAGGCATTTTCAAAAGCTTAGAGCTGCAAGCTGGAAAAGTTTTAGAATGTTTTAAGTGGGTGATTTTGGTGGGTGCTTAAAAGACSAGGATTATGAAAGAACTGTGGAGAATAAAGACTGGCTCATGAGGTTTCAGAGGAGGAGGGCTCTATTGGAAATTGGATTAGAGGCCATTTATGCTACCTTCTGGCAAGACTTTGTCAATACTTTGCTTGTGTCCTGAGATTTTCTTTAAGGTTGTATTTAAAGGTGATGTACTAATTAATCTGGTGGAGGAGATTTTAAGACAGCACAGCATTCAGGCTGCAGAATGGATATTGCTGGTAGTTTATTTTTTTATTTTTATTTTTAAATACATTATTTTGTTTATTTTTATGTGGTGCTGAGGGTCGAACCCAGGACCTTCCATATGCTAGGTGAATGCTCTACCGCTGAGCCACAACCCCAGTCCGGTAGTTTATTTTTTTTTTAATATTTATTTTTTAGGTGTAGTTGGACACAATACCTTTATTTTATTTATTTATTTTTATGTGGTGCTGAGGATCTAACCCAGGGCCTCACGTGTGCTAGGCRAGCGCTTTACCACTGAGCCACAACCCCATGCCTGCTGGTAACTTTTAACCAAGTTTACTGTAATAATCAGGAGCAGAAAGCAAAACAGAAAGATCTGGAAAAAAATTTGCAGTGTGGCCAGAGAAGTGTGAATAAAATTAGTGCTAAGGAAATAGTGGTTGTTAAAGATATTGCAGCATTAAAGAGATGCTAAGTACTTTACATGGAGACACTAGGAAAGACCACTGGAAGTCAACCCAGGAATTGGCAAGAACATACTCATCGAAGGCTCAAGGGTGTCAAAGTATAAATTCCTTTGAGAAGAGGCCATGGGGGCACCTTGCTTGCACAGGCAGGCCTAGAAAGTTGTTTCACTGTGCTCAGCTGTGTAGGCACTGATGCTGCTGCAGCCATGTTCTCAGGATGCATAGTTACTGCTCAAGATGATGGCACACTGGAGTCAACCATGTGCTACTGTTTCTGTAGGAATGCAGGTTGCAGGAGTTAGGGGGTCATGGAGGCTTCCACAGAGATTTCAAAGAAAGGCCTGGAAAGCCACACATAGTGTAGCAGGGTCAGAGTTCCTGTGGGCAGCCCCTGAGAAGGTGATGCATGAAGATATGAGAAAGAAGTCAAAATTTTTTTCCTCTGGGAAAAAAGAAAATGTAATATATATTACACACACATACACAATGGAATATTATTCAGCCTTAAAAAGGAAATTGTGTCATTTATGTCAGCATAGACAAACTTGGAAGACATTATGCTAAGTGAAATAAGCCAGACACAGAAACACAAATACTTCATAGTTAAGAATCTAAAAAAGTAGAATCTGCAGAGGCAGAAACTAGAATGATGTTTGCCAGGGGAAAAAGGGATGGAGAGGTTTTAGTTAAAGGAAACAAAGTTTCATTTAGGCCAGAGGAATAAATTCTAGAGCTATACTGTGCAGCATGGTGACTATATTTAATAACACGGTAAGAGAGAACTTATCATTTCTCATTAACACAAATAACTATGAGGCGATGGATGTGTTAGTTTGTGATAATCACATCACAGCTCGTACATACATCAAAACACCACACTGTCCACCACAAATATATATAATTTTGGTCAACTATACTTAAAAAAAAAGTTTGAAAAAATTCTTAAAACAGACAATTCATAAACTCTTGAATGGATGACAATTTCTATTATAAATAAAAACGTAACTTGCAATGTTTGTATTGGGAAAGAAATCTGAGAAAATGTTGTGTGTGTTCCAGTGGGAACTGAAGGTTTAGGATTAAGGGATAAGTTTCCTCTTCTGTGTACCTTTCCAAAACTCTTGACTTTACAAATTAAGAGTCCAGGGAACTCTTGCCCGTTCTCCAGTTGCGCTTCCTCTGTCAAAACCTACATTACTTCCAAGTGACGCCCCCGGAGAGAACAAGTCCCCGATCTTTCTAATCCGGCCCAGCCCTTCCACATCGCTCAGGTATCCAGAGTCAGAGGGAGAGGGTAGGGGCTCTAACGCTAGTCCTGGCAAAAATTCTCCAGGTAGCGACCTCAGGTGTAAAGCTGCAGAGTACAGGTGGCGCGGGGAGGCGGGGGGCGTCTTCCCATTATTATTACGTAGTCCCATCTCCTTCTGGGGAAAGCACAGGTGAGAGCGGGGCCACCCGCGCAGGGTGCTCCCGGACCAGCACGTCCTGCGATGCCGCAGCCGGCGCTGGTGTCCTACGCGGCCGCTTCTTTGAGTCCTCGACTCGCTCTCTGAGTTGGCTGATTCGTCAAATTTTTCGTGTCAGAATTTAACATGAAAATTCGTATTCCATTATTTCGGAAGCCATTTCTATCCAGGAAATCGGAATCTGGAGCGACTTCGTGTTCTTGCATTCTTTAAGATCCTGGCGTCCACCGTCCTCACCCTCGGCGATCCGGGACCTTGCGTCGAAAGCGCCGACGCGGATGCTCAGGCCGCCATTCCCAGCGCGCAGTCGCGGCGGCCCGGGCCCCCACCCCCGCCGGGAGTCCGACGTGGAAGTTGCTGGCTGACCTGGCTTGAGAGGAGACCGCCTTGGAGCCGCGGCTGGAGGCTAAAGCTAGCGGAGGTGGCGGCGCCGAGGCTGGAATAGCAGTCGTTGCCGAGTCGAGGCCTGCCTCCGCGGACCGGCGAGGGCCGACTGGCGGGTCATCATGGGTGAGCAGTTCGAGGAGTCTGGGCGCGCTCGAGGGGCTGCGGCTCAGGGCTGGGGGCGGGAGGGGGAACGGGGCCGCGGTGCGAAGCCCTGAGTGGCCAGCTTCTCCCGGGCGGTCGTGCGGGACTCAGCTTGGCTCTTCACCTGCGGGCGGACCCCGCTCCGCGCTTCTCCGCTGCTCTGGCTGCTTCCCCTSCGGCGTCGGGGGCGGCCTGGCGGCGAGTCCTTTTCGGTGACCCCGACTTTCCCCTCAGCCTCCTATACCCACCGCGGCTCGCCGGGCGCAGTTGGGCTTGCGAAGCGCAGCGACGTGTCAGTTGCGGGTTCACTGACAACGTTGGAACCGGGGCTCCGTCCCCGCAGTGCCAGCTGAATTCTCTCCCCWGCGGAGTCGGGACTGCGTCACTTCGAGAAGTCCGACCGGAGTGTTGCTTTAAAAAACAAAACAAAACAAAAAAACACATTTATTTTATTTATTTGTTTTTATGTGGTGTTGAGGATCGAACCTGCCAGTGCCTCCTCCGTGCCTCTGAGCCACAAGCCCAGCCCGGGACAGTGTCGCTTTATGGCCACCCTGGCATCTGTGTTGATGGTCTGCTGTAGCTTTTCGTGTAAAATTAAGTCGGGTAAATTGAAAGTGGGGAGGGTGTTACTAGTCCCGTGAATGAAAACTTGAATTCCAGTTCTAGGGACTGTTCCTTGTGCCCGCTAGAGACCAAATGGAGGTGTGCATTCGTGAACTTGTTTACCACTTTCCAAATGAAGATGCTTGTCCTTTGGTTTAAATCCCTCGTCGGTTTTCCGGGAGTAAACTTCCTGCTCCAGAGGCTCACAGCCCCTAAACCTGTCTTGTGTAACCCTTCAGTTTTGTTCTTCCGCATCTTTCCTACCTGTAAATGGCAGAGAGGACTTTGTCAAGTCACACCCAGATTCTTTTGACTTTTCCAAGTTTCTCTATGTAGCCCGTGGTGTGTTCGATTTTCCAAACTTGGCAACTCTTAATTTTCCCATCTCCTTTCTGTATAGCAAAGTGTGGCAACCCTTTTGTTGTCAACTATTATTATTATAATTTCTAGCTTTAAAAAWATTTTCTCTAGTGGCTTTCAGAAATAGTTCTTGTGATTTCTGGTTTGTGTGTCAGTTTCTTTTTTTTAAGCACTTTATTGCCTTTATTTTATTTATTTACTTTTTATTTTTATGTGGTGCTGAGGATCGAACCCAGTGCCTCACTCGTGCTGGCAAGTGTTCCACCACTGAGCCACAACCCTAGCTCTGTGTGTCAGTTTCTTCTGCCTGTTATATTGTTAATTGGAGAAGTCTCAGTAATTAAAGATCATTGTGATTTTGCTGCTGTACAATAATTGCTTTTCATGTGTGAAAAACCACTGCCCTTCTGACTGGCCCTTTGGTTTTTAGGGGTAGTAAGGAAACCATGTCAAGGTATCTGTATTCTGAACCCCATGTCAGCAGTGACTATATTTCTAATTATTTAGTATATCTTTTATATAACTAATTACTTGTGTGATGTTGTATAATCCATTTCATTAGAAGCAAAAATATCTACCAGGAAAATATATTATTTAATTTGATATGTAGCTTTCAAAGGACAAGATTAAATGTATTGTGTATCTGGTTTACACAATATTGAATATGATTTTGCTTTTATTATCTTTTTAGGTGGCTTTTTCTCAAGTATTTTTTCCAGTCTCTTTGGAACCCGGGAAATGAGGATTTTAATTTTGGGATTAGATGGTGCAGGAAAAACCACAATTCTGTACAGATTACAAGTTGGAGAAGTTGTTACTACTATTCCTAGTAAGTGTTGGTATAATAAACTAATTGTAGGAGCTTTCTGGTTTATATCTAACTTTCAGAATAAATGATTTGTATAATAAATTGATAAGGTTTGTAAACTTCTAATATGAATATAATATTAATAACACTTTTTTCCTTCTCTTTTTTTTTCCCATTACTAAGGATTGGACCCAGCAGTGATTTCCCACTAAGCTACATCCCCAGCCCTATTTTTATTTTTTATTTTGAGACAAGATCTACCTAAGTTACTTAGGGCCTGCTGGGTTGTTGAAGTTGGCTTTGAACATGTGATCCTCCTGTCTCAGCATCCGGAGTCACTGGGATGATAGGTGTACTCTACTGCACCTGGTCCGATAGTTAAACTGAGAGKCAATTTGATATAATTTAAGGCCCTCTGTAAGGGTGCAAAGCAAGTTTGCTGTTTAGAGCTAAAGTTGATTTAAGTCACTAAATCTTACTGAGGGCCAGTATCTTTACTGATAAAACAAAAAATAATAAATATCTACTGGCCTTGAGGAGGGGAAATAAATGAAGTGTACAAAAATACTTTAAAAATACTTTGTAGGGGTTGAGGCTATAACTTAGTTGTAGTAGAGCATTGGCCCTGGGTTCAATCACAGCACCAAGAGGCAGGAGAAACAGAACAAAAATTCTTTGTAAATGTGTGTAAAGAATTATATGGATGTTAAGTGATATTATCATATGCAAAGTGCCTTTTTTTTTTTTTGCCTGAATTTGTTTGTATTTTAACCATAGTTAGTTTGTCTTTAGTAATTCTATAGGTTCCTTTTTGTTGTGGTGGTGGTACTTAGGTCTGAACCTAGTGACTTGGGCATGCTGTGCAAGTTCTGTACSTCTGAACTACATCTCCAGCCTTTATTTATTTTGTTTTGAGGCAGTGCCTTACTAAGTTGCCAGGCAAGTGTTAAGTAGCTGGGATTGCACTTGGCAGGGTTCTATTGATTACTCTTAAAGATCTGAGTTGTAGAGACTGAGTGTCAAAATACACTGGTACTTAAAAATAACAAAAGAAACATTTGTTGCTGTCTTAGACAAATATCCAGGAACAATCCTGTTTATTTATGAATACTGTTATTTATACTTTTTCATTTGCTGATCTGAATTTACTTAAGATTAATACATTTACACTAAATTGAAGAGTTCAGAGTTTGTTCAAGATTATTTAAATTATTGCCTGTATAGTTATTGTTACTGAGGTTCTAGATTTTAAAAGTCTAGCTTTTATGAAAAGAACTTTTTGAACTCTGTAGCATCTGTTATTTTCTTTTTGCTACATTCAGTACATTTCATTTCCTTGGTTCTTCTTAAAATTTCTAATCTCTACTGTGACAACTCTCGGTGGCCCATGCAGTGCATAGTGGATCCCATTTCAGTGAGAGCTCTTTATACTACATTCTTGTTCTTTGCACATAAATAGTGCTCTTAATCATGGTGAATGAGGGTAATCACTGTGTRATTGCATAATTCTAAGGAGGACATCATGAACTTGGCTTTTTAGTTTTCCACTTAGGTTTCTTATACTATAGTTTTAATCATCCAGTTACAAGAGTAAGTTGTTTTTTGCTTTGATATTTTTAATCTTGTAAGATGTAAGTACTCKTTGTATATGTCAGTCCTAAGTTTTTTCAGCATCCTTTCCACTCCTTAGATTCCTTTCAGTGACAGTGGTAGTACCTTGCCTTAGCTGTGTGGTGCGCCTTCAACCATTCAGCTATGACTTATTTTGAGACACGTTCTCATTAAGTTGCTTAGATTCTCACTAAGTTGTTTAGGTCCTCACTTGGAATCCTTCTGCCTTAGTCTGCCAAATTGCTGGGATTACAGGAGTGTGCTTACTGCATCTGGTCCATTCTTGTTTTTTTTTTTTTTTAATATGTTTTAGCTATAGATGGACACAATATCTTTATTTTTATGTGGTGCTGAGGATCGAACCCAGTGCCCCACACCTGCAAGGCAAGTGCTCTGCCACTGAGCTTTAGCCCCAGCCCCATTCTTGGTTTTGATCCCTATTTATTTACTACCTACCAACAAAAATTCCAGTTTTTGTAAATATAACTACATTCTAACTACAACTTTCTGAACACTTTTATTTGCTAGTACTGAGGGAATTTAATATAATAGGATTTCCATTGATCTGGGAATTAGATATTTCAGATCATTCTTATGTAATCTGAAGGTGGTGCTAATCTTGTTAATTAGTGAGTTTGTGTGTATGTGTGTATCATAGAATATTATCTTAAATGAAATAATAATGTCCCAGCCGATAATGTGATTGAACAGTTACTGTTAATTGCTAAAACTCAATTGAATTGGACACTTGAAAGTAGAATGTATTAGTCTACACATACTTACCAATTTGATTTCTCTTCCAGCTATTGGATTTAATGTAGAGACGGTGACATACAAAAACCTTAAATTCCAAGTTTGGGATTTAGGAGGACAGACAAGTATCAGGTATAGTTTAAATACCAGGTTATTTTGTAGTATTTAACTTTTTTTTTTTTTTTTTTTTTTTTGGTCAACTGTTAACAGCAATAAACCAAAGCATATCTTCTATTGTAAACTGAGTGGGAGTTACTTAAGTTTAAAATATTATAAAATTTGAAACTGCCTATTCCCTCAGAGCATTCATTGAATTAAAATCTAAAGATAACCACTTCAGATCTGATTTTTTTCAGATATCACTTAAATGAAAATCTGTTCATGAAAATCTCAAGACCTAATTACTAAAGTAGTTTTTTAACTATCCCTCCATTTAGCTCTCATCAGCCCCTTCCTTTGTGTGACAGAGAATTCATAAAAATACCCYGTAGACATTCCATTTAGAGGTAATATAAACATAGATGTCTCAGGAAATTCAGGACTTGTATGAATATTTAGTAACTTAATGGTAGCTTCCTATGTTGCCATTGTAAGAGATTAGTRATACATTCCCTATACATCTGCCTTCCTTTAACGCGTTTCATTTCTTAAATCACTTTTGAGGTTATTTCTGATTTTAGCCATTTCTGCTTCTTGGTGTCTTCAGTGATTAATTTAATGACTTGGATAAAACCATATTAAAATAAGTCCATTCCTTTTGAAGGATTCCTAGTTAAGAGTATAAGCTACATTGGCCAGATCTTTGTACAACTTTTCTATCAGAAAATAGATGATAAGAATCTATCATCTTATAGATGATAAGAATCTGTCTCAGCCTAAAAAATTTGAATTATTTTTAAATTCCTTGGTCCTTTGATTGAAGATTTACCACCATTCTTTCAACTTCATGAAATCCTAGGGACAKGAGAGATAACTGTCAGAAATAGTGAAATCATTACAGCATTGTTTCTAACATGAGTGGGGCAGGATTGGCATGCAGCCTTCTCCACCCACTCATTATTGCCCTGAGTCCTAGCAAGTAAATTGGTGTGTCAGTTTCTTCTTTCAAGTAATAATTATATATTCTCCCCCTTTGAATTTTCTTTAGGCCATACTGGAGATGTTATTATTCAAACACCGATGCAGTCATTTATGTAGTAGACAGTTGTGACCGAGACCGAATTGGCATTTCTAAATCAGAGTTAGTTGCCATGTTGGAGGTAAGTAAACTAACACTTTAAGATGAAGGGAAATCATTTACATTTGCTTGCTACTTCCAGAGTATATTATCACATGTAGGAATAATTAAAAAGAATGCAGTGACTTTTTCCTTCATGTTTCAATGTTTTCTCTTATTCACAATACTTCCTGTTCCAGAAATACAGTTGGAAATGGGGGAAAAAAGAAATCTAACCCTAACCCTGAAACTTCCTATAAGGTAGATTCTTTGATTTCCAGAAGTTCAGAGGTCTCTTAAGGCAACTATTAAAACTATCTTAAGTCAGTCCTATGATGTATCCCACCATCACTTTTTCTTTCTTCCTTTTTTTTTTTTTTTTTTTGTGGTTTTAGGGATCAGACTTAGGGTCTTATGCATGCAAGGCAAGCCCTCTACCACTGAGCTAAACTCTAGCCCCTATGATGTGACATTTAAAAAATGTCTTATTTTTAGCTGTTTTAGAAGCAGAAATATAATTTAAAAACTAAGTAAAGAAACAATAAATGGAATAAAGAATAAAGTAGGGTAAATAGTGAGAAAATAACTGAAACTCCTCTGTGGGAGAGAGACTTGTCAAAACCGTGTATTTCTAGGTTGCTGGCTGTACTGGGGATTGAACCTGAGGACTTTACCACTGAGCTACATCCCCAGCAGTTTTTATTTTTATTTAGAGACAGAGTCTAAGTTGCTGAAGCTGACTTCAAACTTGTCATCCTCCTGCCTCAGCCTCCTGAATAGCTGGGATCATAAGCATGTACCATTCTACTGGGTCACATTGATCTTTGTTTTTTGAGCATACTAAGTTGTATACTTGGGCCTTTTATACCTGTGAGCCTTCTGCTTAGAATTCTCTTCCCCCAAAATTTTACATTGCTACTTTCTGGACCTTTTTTTTTTTTTTTTTTTCCTGACACACTCTTCCTGAAAGAGTAGTCTCAGTTACTTTCTAACCCCTTACCCTACTGTATTCCTTATATCACTTACTGTTTCTCTATTTAGATATTTGTTGTTACTGTGTTTTTTGCAATACTGGGGGTTAGTCCCAGGGGTACCCTACTACTGAGCTAYATCCCTAGTCCTTTTTATTTATTTTGAGATGGTCTTACTAGGTTGCTGAGGCTGGCCTTGAACTTTGAATATTCCTGCCTCAGCCTTCTGAGTCACTGGAATTACAGGATGTGCCAATGCACCAGGCTCTTAGTTTTTAAATGTATTTGTTTATTTRTGTATGTTTTCCCCTCAAAATATAAGTTCCTTGACTTTATCTTGATGTGTGGAAGAACTCAGTACATTTTATTCATTGAGCTTAAGATGATGTATTGGCTGACATTCAGAGGATGCATTAAGTAATTTTTAAAAATGAAAACAGCAAGATATACTATGACTAATTTAATAATGAAATTGCATTTTCTCTAGAAGATCAGATAGTTAAATTTCCTTTTCACACCAAAAATATATTTCTGATTTACCCAGTCATTGAATGCTTAAATATAAGTTCTAGACCACTTGATACCTAAGGAAAACCATTCTCAGAAGAGAGGACACTAGATTTCTGATTTCTTGGACTACTGACTTTGTAATGGTTTCCAAATTATAAATTTCAAACTTAGTAGTTTTAAACTTATGCTTAATTTTTTACATTATAGCATCATATTTATTATAAGATCTTTGTAGATAAATTCAAATATAAAGAACTATTTGTCTTATATATAATGGAGTTTTAAAGTAACAGCCATAAGCTGTTAATTAGATTTAATTGTATAAACACAAAGAACTGCCCCCCCCCAAAAAAAAACCCCAGATATACCAAATGTAATTAAGAGTAAAAACRGGAAATTAGAACTTACTAAACACCAGTGACTTAAGAATTACTTTTCATTTTTTGTACTGGGTATTGAATCAGGGACGCTTAACCACTGATCCACATCTCCAGCCCTTTCCATAATTTATTTAGACGCAGGGTCTCGAGTTGCTTAGAGTCTTGCTAAGTTATTGAGGCTAGCTTTGAACTAGATTCARAGATTCTGCCTCAGTCTCCTGAGCCACTGGGATTACAGCCACTGCACCTGGCTAGAATTTCTGTTCTTAATCATATCTAGACCTTTTTCGAATTAGTAGAAAAATGAGTAAAAGGCAGTATACATAAGAGAAACACATTGCTAATAAYATTTGCATTTCTAATGGCCTAATAACAAACATTCAGTTAGAACTATGTTTGGAAAAATAATTTTCTGGTATACTAAGGTTATATTGAAAATTTAGATTTGTTGGTGGAGTAAAAATTGCTACCACCTTTCTAGAAAGCTATTTTATATTATTTTTTTTTCACTTTATCAAATCCTCAACATAAAGTTTTAGAGAACTGTGTTAAGAGAACAGATTCAAAGATTTCTGTACAAACACCTTGTTACCTGGATTTTTCTAATTGTCAAGTGAAAGAATATAGAGTCCAGTGCTATRAAATTGTTATATGATTTATGGTACATGTACCCATAGTGTAAAGTATATTTAGTCACTAATTTATTTTTTGAAAAATTTTTATGGTTTGGAGAAAGAWTCATGTTTATTTTTTTAAAGCAGGGTATAGAATTATATGTAATCTTAAATTTGAAAATGTATTAACTAAGTAAACTAAATATCTTTAGAACCACAGTACTGGTAGAAAATATTCCAWATGTTAACAATGGTGATTGGGAGGTAGGATTATGGATGAAGCATCTTTCTTTGTATTTTTCTGTACTTTGAAATAATTTATAATAAACATTATATGTACTTTTAAAGTAATGTAGTTTTTGGTATTTTTTCCATAAACTCAAGGGAGCAAATTGATTAGAGGAAATTAAATATCTTCCATTTTATTTAGGAAGAAGAGCTGAGAAAAGCCATTTTAGTGGTATTTGCAAATAAACAAGACATGGAGCAGGCTATGACTCCCTCAGAGATGGCAAACTCACTTGGATTACCTGCCTTGAAGGACCGAAAATGGCAGATATTCAAAACATCAGCAACCAAAGGCACTGGCCTTGATGAGGCAATGGAATGGCAAGTATTGTATTTCTAGAAGCCAACTCAGCAGCTTATCACACAGGTTCTCCCAGCCTTTTCTCTCACTGGTCTTCATGTACATCTGCTTTTATTTTAGCCATATCTACCTGGTTATAGTTATTTAAATAAATCCAGCTCTCTGCCATTCTCAAGAATTTTTCCTGATTTATCTCCATTCCCATACCTTTCYGCATGTTGCTAGGTGACCTTGTTAGAAATCAGTGACATACTACTTGTTACACTGACTTGTAATTGTTTGATTTGTGCATTTGTTCATTGGATTATCAGCTCCTTGAGGAATGAGACTAGTTTTCACCTCTGAATCATCCACATGTAGCCCTACAGTAGTAGCAGCCTGGAAAATAGAAGTTTGGTCTTTTTTGATTATTTGTGCAAATCACAAAGTCAAAGCTTATAATAACCATCATGGAAATTGAGTCCATAACWTCCTCCTAATTTGTGTTAGCATTCATCATTTTATGTGCTTTGGAATCTGCCTCCATTATAAAATTTATATTATAAATGTGCATGCTTTATACCTGAAAATTAATTTCATGGAACTTCATTTTCTCTTTACAGGTTAGTTGAAACATTAAAAAGCAGACAGTAATTAAATCACTTCAGCTCCTCTGAAATGAAGGCTGCATCACATTCTCTTTGGAAACAGGCAGGTGTGCTTCATATCACTAAATGTTGAAACCACACGATTGTTGGCATATTACTGAACTGACTACAAAGTTCATAATAAATACAAAAAATGAAGTATTTGGTTAGAGGGGTAACTTGATGAATCATCTGGGTATTCTATGTAATGTAAAAACATTCTTTCCTTGCTTTCTTGTGTTAAGGTATATATTCTATTTGTATGGAATTCTTATTCAAATACAGTTCTATTAAAGAATGTACTCTTCTTGGGGGGAAGCCCGCCTATTTTTGAATTAGTGGTTGCATCTTGTTTGTGTCATTAACACATATATTAACTCAAGATTTTTTTCTTCTTTAAAATGAATTAAGTCTTTCCAAAGATTAGACTCCAGAGAGTAGGCTAGAAGCACAGTATATATAATTTTTATTTGCTTAGCTGACCACTTTATATTAAACTGTTTCACTTAAAAGTTTTTGATTATAGGCATGAATATTTTGTTGACTAACTTCATTGACTATCTATAATTGTAACTTTATAGTACTTTATTAAGAGCTTTATAATACTGATCTAATCRGTTTATAAGGAAACCCTGTGAGGTAGATGGGACAGACTGTAATGTAACTTCATGAATGTGTACYTGCAGTGCTGATACATTGGCTTGCCCAAGGCCACATACTAGTGAGGTAGGTAGGAATAGGGCTCAAAGTAAAACTTCTGGGTCAGAAGTTTGTTTCATAAATTGTGCTATATATTCCTAAAAATTGAACATTGACAACACAGATAACCTAACTCTTAAGATTATGATAATTAGTTGCAGAACATTTAAAATAATGTCATAACTTTGTCTATACTTGTAAAACTGATCAGTGACAGTAAAAACAATCCTAAATGGGCATATTTGATGATATTTATAGCACAATAAAGAGAAAAATTCACATTAAAGGAAATTTTTAAAGCAGCATTATAAAAGATGTCTTTAGTATCTTGCATTATCTACCTGTAAATGTAGTGTAAATTGGTTAAAAGTAAAAATCTTATTTTATTGGTTATTTTATTTTATTGGTTCTAAAGGAAGAAATTACACATTCTTGGTTTTACAAATTAGGTTTACTGCTAAGCTGTGGTTGTTGTAAAAAGCCTGTTCAAAGCAACTTTTCAAACTACTCAGTCCATGACAGGATAAACTAGTGTGAACAGTGGTAGATATAGCTCTTTCATAGCAATTATTAAAATGAGGAGAGTTTTTTTTCTCAAGTTAAACAACCAGCATTTTAAAAATTAGTGCTGGTATAAAGAGCTTAAGCTGGGTGCAGTGGCACATGCCTGTAATTCCAGCTACTCAGGAGGTTGAGTTAAGAGGATGTCAAGTTTGAGGCCAGCCTGGTCAACTTATCAAGATCCTGTCTCAAATAAAAGGGCTGGGGGACATAGCCCAGGGGTAGAGTACAGTGTAGCATGCACAAAGCCCTGGGTTTTATCTCCAGAACTGCCAAAAAAAAACTATATGCCATTGTGCCCCCAAGTCTCAAAAATACTAGTGGTTCATTTCATGGTTCTCATCCTCTTTCCTCTGGTTTCTTTCCCTCAAAATTTATAGGCATTCTCCCATTGCAAATGAATTCAGCTTTCTTTTTTCACCTGCAGGATTCTATTTTTTTCCTTCCTCTGGTCTCTTTTGAATTCTTTTTTGGAGAGTATTTTCCTCCAGGCACAAGTGTTTCTAATGTAACTATTAACTCACTTTGATGGACAAGACCTGTCTTTTTATATTTATATCCCTTCTATCCAGTATGATACCTGGCACTTTATGGCCCATCAGAATCTAACCATAGTTGAAATGGTGGGATACAAATCTAGGAGAATTGCACTTCTGCAGTTCAGACTTGGGTTCTCTTCTGGTCAATGGCACATGACTATGAAATGCTAGTTTACTTATAAACTTGAGGTGCTAGGCTTATACTCAAGGGCCTAAGTACTCTCTAGCAGTTCAGGAACAGTGTGAAAAATAGTAGGAGAGGGGAATAAGGGCCTGCCAAATTGAATTCTGAGGCATGAGTACTGTCCTAGTACCTGGATGATTCTGATTCTTCTGGTTTATAATAAAGAATAGGATGAGATAAAAGAGGGTACACTAATAGGGATTAAGATCCTTGTCTAACATGGAATAACTGCATAGATAATGCTACTAGGGTTCAAATATTGATATTTCTAAAATAAATCCAAATACTGTTTTTTGTGAGATGCCTGGTCATGGCAAAAGCATCACACTTGAAATCAAAACAGAAGCTCTAGGTCCAAATGGCTAGCTTTCAGTTTTGTTTCTGTAAAATGAGACTTGGACAGAAGATACCAAAAGTTCCTTCATCTCTACCATTATATTTTATATTTCTGGTTGGTAGTTGTGCTGTGTTGTGATCTCACTAAAGAAAWGAGAAATCAAGTAGTGGAATTACTTCTGTTATCTTGAATACCTGACATGCACTTTAAACTGGAAATATAAGTTCTGTGAGAGCAGGGACCATATCTAATTTACTGTTAGTATTCCTTGCATCTAGTGTGGTGCACCTGGCATATAGTAGCACTCAATAAATATTTATTTAAAAAAGATGCGTTCAATATCTTGTGATACATGTGTTCTTTTTGATGTTTATTATTTTTATTTATTKCGATGCCGAAGACTGAACACAGGGGTAATTAACAACTGAGCCACATCCCCAGCCCTTTTTAAAATCTTTTATTTAGAGACGGTCTCACTGWGTTGCTTGGGGCCTAAGTTACTGAGGCTGGCTTTAAACTTGTGATCCTCCTGCCTCAGCCTCCTAAACTGCTGGGATTATAGGCATGCACCACCACACCCAGCTAGTATTTTGATTTTTGAGTTTTAAAATTTTTATGAAAGTAAATACAAGGACTTTAAGTCAAATAGAAATAATTAATTAGATCTGACTTCCAAGATGTCCAGTGCTTATCATTTTGAAACATTGCAGACCCTTTAGAAGGTGAGAACACATGTTTGAAACACAAACTTCACCAAAACATAGATGAGTGAGTGTTCAAACAGTTGATTCTTAGGCCACATATTGTATTATAATTCCATAATTATAAAGTACAAAGCGCTGGACTTGAAGTTGTAATCATGATTCTACAACCTGTCATGTTTGATTTTAGGAATCCCTCAGGGGTACTCTGAGAATTAAAATATATGCCAAGTGCCTGGCACATAGGATAAATTCTTCTTTCCCTTTGTCTTTAGATACATGGGGCACTAAAGAATTTGTTTTCATATCAAATGTATAGCAAGGCAAAAGATGCCATGTGGTTCAACAACAATTAGTTTGGCTTCCTCTAAGTGTGGCTGGCTTTTTAGTTGTAAATACTAAACCTTAAAACAATTACTAGGTTTCAAAGAAATCACTTAATTCTTTTCTTTGTTATTAGTTTAGTAGTTTTGGCCACATATTGAAATATTTTTATTATAAAATTTAATATTTTTGTAATTATTAATAATAAAATAATGTAGTTGCAARTGTACTCATCTTCAGGTTTGTAATGAAATGTATGAAAACTTAACCTTACACCAAATATAAGACAGAACATTTTAATCCCCCTGCCACCATACATCATGTGCTTCAAATCCTGTGTTTAATAAGTACCCTATGCTGAAATTTTTGAAATCATTCCCATTTTTTTCTATACACAAACACACACACACACACACACACACACACACACACACACACACACGTATATATTGTCCAGACCTGCAAGTTTTCCTGAGTTTATTACAGATATTCAACTCTATTTTTCTATGCTTACCCCCAGTTGAACAGTTTCTAAAATTCATCTATACTGATAAAACTGGTTTTTAGTTTTTTGAAATTTCCTTACATGAATATGCCACTATTTTATTTATCCATTCTCTTGTGGAGGTACAGTTGAATTGTTTCTTGGTCATATCTTCTTCAGATCCATGGCTCTAAGTCTGTCTTAGGTGTTGAACTGCTGCTGCTAGATTGGGAGTATACTCTTCAGGTTTGTAAGATAGTGCTAAATTATTTTCCAAAATGGCTTATGAATTCCAGATGCTCCACTGTCCTTGTCACTTGGTGTTGTCAGCCTTGTCTGAAGAATTCAAAAAYAGAATGTCATTCTAGTGCATTTTCTGGCTAGGTGTGGTGGTACATGCATATAATCCCACAAACTCAGTCTGAGGCAGGARGATTGTAGGTTTGTGGCCAGCCTCAGCAATTACAGTGAGAACTGGTCTTAAAAAATAAAAAGGGCTGGGGTAGCTCAGTGGTAGAGCACCCTTGAATTCAATCCCTAGTTTGAAGAACCTATACAGTCATATCAACTAATTGTCAAAGGATTATCTTTGATTCATAGGTATCATTGTCTAGTGTGGACATTACTAATCCTTTGGCAGTAGAATATGGTATCTGCCATATTCTACCTTGTGTTTTTTTCATTTTCTTAATTTTTAATGAAGTAATAAGTCTTATCRTACATTTCTTCTATAGATGGCACTTCATGTCTTTTTGGTTTCTGTTGGGTAAGACCTTTATCATCCTTTTCTAAGAGTATCATGGCTATCTTGACTTTCAAATAAATTTTGAATCAGATTAATTAGATTAACATGAAGAACTCTTGGGTTTTTGATCCAGAGTGCATTTAATCAGTGGGACTGWCTTGGGAAAAACTAGCATCTTATAATAGATCTTCCTATCCATGAACATGGCTATATTTTCTCTACTTGTGCAGATCTTTCCTAATRCCTTCTGATAAAGCTTTATATATTCTCCATAAATATTTTGTTTCATTTATTCCTGCTACATTTTTTTCTTGCTATTTAAACTTTTTATTAAAAAAAAACTTTTAAACTCTATCATGTAGTATCACATGCTTTTAGACAATGAAGATAACAGTAACAGTTTAAACATTTTAATTAAAAATGAYCATGGTTACATTAAACTATGTATTTACACATTCTGTGTCAAAGTTTAACTTAAGTAATAAAATCTGTTGTGATTTCAGCCCAGCAAAATATACCAGAAAGTTCATGTGTTGAGGTGAACTAAGACTATGAATTAYGCTCCAGTATCAGGACAGGGAGCCTTCACTCCACTATTGCTAAATCTTTCAGGCTGTGGCTTTTTTGCCTCTTGGCTTTATAGCCTGGACGCAGGAATTCTATCTTTCTCTTCTTTGCTTCACTTTTATTTTTATGTTTCTTCAGCTTTTTCTTGGCAGCAATATCAGGATTGGTTACAAACTTGAAAAGAGAACAGAAATTTTATTACTTTTAAAGTACACGTTAAACCAGTTCCCCAAACATGCCCCTATGTTCACCTTTAAACATTGTGAATGTAATACATGCTTATTAATGAAAATATGGAACTCTTGCTATCAAGTTTCTACCTCTCAAATCTTCAGTCATCTTCTGGGTAAGCATGACACAAGTGTGTACATACCTGTGGTTAAAAAAGCTTGAGCCCAGCAAACAAGCCATTTTCTCAAGCAGCAAACTCACCTCCAGAGCCTTCCTCTTTTTCCGGAGTGCCCTTTTCTCATTAGCCTGTTTCTGTATAGAGGCAAAGGCTAATGAGAAGCTCTCGAGCCCAACCATCTTTTTGAGTAATTCTATTATTTCTTGAGATAGATTCTTCAGTAAAGGATCTACTCGAACACAGAGAATATGGTTAAAGATGGTCATATGGAAAAGGACACAGCTGAACATCAACAAAATCAACAAAGTACAGTATTTAAATGTGTGGCATTATTACTGTTAGTCGCTGTGGCATTAACAGCAGTTCATGGCCCCTGCTCGTTTCCAAGATGGAAACAAAGCCCTCCCATCCACCACCTCATCCAGWGGCAATAAGAGATTAGGCCCACTTCCCAGCAGGTTCTGAAGACAAGGAATTTGAGAACCTGACAATATTTTGGATTACTTTTGCGAACCTGTTCAGCTTTGTGCAGATGCAGGGAGAGGTTAAGATTGCTTCTCTAATCCATGGGTCACAGAAGCTAAGCTCTGCCCATGATAACCTTTTTKGGGGGATTAGAGACTGAAGAGCTGACAGAAGGCTTGTCCTATTCTTTCTGTTCCCTATCCTCCAAATACAGATAACCCAGACATTTCATATTAATTTCAGGAAAACTCAGGACTTGTGTGTTAGACTGCAAACATCAATCCCTTTGCACTGTTGAAGCCCCATTGCCTGGCGTATATTAGGTGCTCAGTACATGATGGCTGCTTAAACCAAAGTCTTTGATTTAATTGCTCTTTTCCTCAAAATTAGAGCAAGGAAAACTTTCTATCAAGGTTTCAAGGCTAA